GAGAGCATCTGGCATCTCTATGTGATGGCTAAGGCCAAGGCAGCATTGAGGCCAGAAGCTGAAGAGCGTCTAGCCTCAGCCCTACCACTGAGGGATCTTTAACAAATCTGTCAGTCTTGGATCTCATGTCTTCATCTTGAAGATAGGAATAATTATTCAGGTAACAGGACAGGATGTTGTTCATCATCAGCTTGAACACATCCTTTCAAATGAATTGAGGGCCTAGGGTAAAAAAGTTCCTGTCCCTGCCAGTGATAAAGGGAAGAGAAGACGAAATTCAGGGTTTTGTTGTTGCTATAGAGAGAGTCTTGCTCTGTCCCAGGCTGGTATGGAACTTACTATATAGATCAGGCTGGCCCTTAAATTGTGCTGATCTTCTTGCCTTTTAGAGTGCTGGGATTAAAGGGGTACACTGCCACTCCCAGCCGGTTCAAGGGAGCTGGGGTGTTGCAGTGAGTGTAGCAGAGAGGATCAGGTGCAGAGGTGGGCGAGCAGGGTTGAGGTGGGGGGCCTCTGAGGTGGGGGGCCTCTGAGGGCCTTGCTGGCAATGCTGAAGAGTTTGACCTTCACTTCCCAAGCGACACCTCCTAGTCCTTCCCAACAGTCCACCAACTGAGAACCAAGAATTCAACTATGTGAGCCTATGTGGGCCAGTCTCATTCAAACCACCACGAGACCATAGGATCTGAGAATGGAGCCGGACAACTGAGCCCTTAATGGAGGGTACAAATAAATGGACGCAAATTAGTTTGTTATTATCTAAGCAGTCCATATTCATTCTTAAAAAAAAAAATCTTAGGAAGCACAGATAGGTAACAAAAGCAAAAACCCAATCACTTCATTTTTGCTCCACCAGAGATGAGCCTGCCACTATTGGTGCCTATGTATCTTTTTAATCACCATGATCACATGACCGTTCAGGTTCTATAATCTGCTTTTTTGGCTTAGTCTACTGTGGATAGTTGATGCCCGTATAACTATTGGAATAGCAAGAAGAAAACAGAGGAAAGGAATTCTGGAGGTGCTCCACAGAGAACTACGGATGCCCACGGCAGCCCGAGGGCTTACCAACAGCTGGGAAAGGCAGTGGAGGAGCTGGGTTAGAGCAAAGGCCCGGGACGTTCCCACCGCAGCCCTGCCCATCATCCCTACTCTGTGTCAGCTGCAGCTCCCATTCCAGGTAGCCTGGCTGCTGCTGGTCCTGCGGTTGGTACTGGAGCTGAGGGGTGGAGGGCGTGCCTCCCTCCCCCACTGGCCTTGTGTCTTTGCTGACTCAGCTCTGGGCTGGGACTGACCGCAGAGGTCTCCATCTTACTCATTCATCTCAAGTCCCTACCGACAGCTGCTTCTTGCCTCCTTGATCCAGGGGCATTTCCTGTGATGCAGCACCAGATCCTGCCCTTCAAGGAGTTGTAAGTGGGTCAGGGCCCAGCCAGACCCTACTCTCAATTGCCAATCAGCCCATGTAACAGAGAAGGAG